GTGGCTTTATGTGGCCGGCTGTGTGGCTTTATGTGGCCGGCTGTGTAACTTTATGTGGCCGGCTGTGTGGCTTTATGTGGCCGGCTGTGTGGCTTTATGTGGCCGGCGGTGTGACTTTATGTGGCCGGCTGTGTGGCTTTATGTGGCCGGCTGTATGGCTTTATGTGGCCGGCTGCTACCCATGTTGAACAGCACCATTCAAAGATCTTATAATTATAGATTATTTCTCTCCTTTATTTTGGAAGTGTAACACAAATTAAGTGACAGATAATCTGAGGTTAAAAACATATTGTAAACTTTCTGAGCGACTTTTTGTTGAGGCTTAAGTCAGAGCTTGTGGTGTAGGCCTCTAGGGCGTGAAGCTTGGCGTTGACGAGCAGCATGCGGAGGGTCGGGAGGGTCGCCTTGCCGGAGGATTGGAGGGTCGGGTGGTTGGAGGGTTGAAGAGTCGGAGGGTTGAGGAGTCAGAGAGCTGAAGAGTTGGAAGGTCGGAGGGTTGAAGGGTCGAAGGGTCGGATGGTTGAAGAGCCGGAAGGTCGAAGGGTTGAAGATTTGGAGGGTCGGAGGGTTGAAGATTTGGAAGGTAGGAGGGTCGAAGAGTCTAAGGGTCGGCGGGTTAAAGATTCGGATGGTCGGAGGGTTGAATAGTCGGAAGGTTGGATGTTTGAAGAGTCGGAATGTCGGAATTTGAAGAGTCGGAAGGTCACAGGGTTGAAGAGTCGGAAGGTCGGAGGATTGAAGAGTCGGAGGGTTCAAGAGTCGGACGGTCGGAGGGTTGAAGTGTCGGAAGGTCGGAAGGTTGAAGAGTTGGATGGTTAAAGAGTCGAAAGGTCAGAGGGTTGAGGAGTTGGAAGGTCGGAATTTGAAGAGTCGGAGGTCGCAGGGTTGAGGAGTCGGGAGGTCGGAGGGTTGAAGAGTTGGAAGGTAAGAAGGATGAAGAGTCGGAAGGTCAGAGGGATGAAGAGTCGGAAGGTCGGAGGGTTCAAAAGTCGGAAGGTCGGATGGTTGAAGATTCAGAAGGTCGGAGGGTATAGGAGTCGGAAGGTCAGAGGGTTGAAGAGTTGGAAAGTTGGAGGGTTCAAGAGTCCGAAGGACGGAGTTTTGAAGAGTCGGAAGGTCGGAGGGTTGAAAAGTCGGAACGTCTGATGGATGAAGAGTCGGTAGATCGGAGGGTTCAAGAGTAGGAAGGTCGGAGGGTTGAAGAATCGGAGGGTTGAAGAGTCGGTAGATCGGAGGGTTCAAGAGTAGGAAGGTCGGAGGGTTGAAGAATCGGAGGGTTGAAGAGTCGGAAGGTTGAAGAATCGGAAGGTCGGAGTTTGAAGAGTCGGAAGGTCACAGGGTTGAAGAGAAGGAAGGTCGGGGGGTTGAAGAGTCGGAAAGTTGGAGGGTTGAAGATTCGGAAGGTCCTAGCGTTGATGAGTCGGAAGGTCGGAGGGTTGAAGAGTCGGAAGGTCGGAGGGATGAAGAATCGGAAGGTCTGAGGGTTGAAGAGTCGGAAGGTCGGAGTTTGAAGAGTCAGAAGGTCACAAGGTTGAAGAGTCGGAAGGTCGGAGGGTTGAAGAGCCAGAACGTCGGAGGGATGAAGAGTAGGAAGGTCGGAGGGTTCAAGAGTAGGAAGGTCGGAGGGTTGAAGATTCGGAAGGTCCTAGGGTTGAAGAGTCGGAAGGTTGGAGGGTTGAAGAGTCGGAAGGTCGGAGGGATGAAGAGTCGGAAGGTTGAAGAGTCGGTAGGTCGGAGTTGGAAGAGTCGGAAGATCGCAAGGTTGAAGAGTTGGAAGGTCGGAGGATTGAAGAGCTGGAACATCAGAGGGATGAAGAGTCGGAAGGTCGGAGGGTTCAAAAGTAGGAAGGGTGGAAGGTTGAAGATTCGAAAGGTCCTAGGGTTGAAGAGTCGGAAGGTCGGAGGGTTGAAGAGCCGGAACATCGGAGGGATGAAGAGTCGGTAGGTCGGAATTTGAAGAGTCGGAAGGTCACAGGGTTGAAGAGTCTTCGACCTTCCTCAAGAGTAGGAAGGTCGAAGGTGTTGGAAATTTCCTATACTGATACATTACTATTGTATCATAATACATTACTATTGTATCATAATACATTTCTATTGTATGCTAAGTACAGTAACTATTAACTCTACTAACTGTAGTGCTAACATAAATTAATATTTCTTTATCTGAGCATATATTGCTAACATTCTCACGACATCGAGAGGCAGGATTGCGTCTGATAATGTCTATCTAGATACATTTATTACCAATATGTTAGAGAATTGATATGGTTCTCTACTTTTATCAGTATACTGTATAATAATTAGTTACTGATAATATAACTCCTAATGATCCAATAACCGAGAGTTATTAACTAAGATTATCCCTAAACAACAGTTTTATCTGTTATCTACGAACGCCATGGAAATATTTCCCATTTCTCGTTAATAAGGAAACTGTGCTTAATCAACACTATCTAGCGAGCATATAAACAATATAGTTCCCTACAATTGCAACCCTATTCTTTTAGAGCATTACTTCAATAATTACACGGAAAAGAATTCTCCGTGATTACTAAATTCTATTGTGAATGCGAGGAGGGGGTTGAGGGAGACGTGAGTGGCGAGCCGCCATGAGTCCTCATGTGTTCGACTAGTGATCAGGAAGGGAAGACACGTGGTGGTGTGACTGAAGACTTTCCAACCGTAATTACGTTGCAATTCCACCAATAGTCATCAATTACCTCCCCTCGTGTTCTACAGTGCCCTACCAGTTAATAACGCATGAACAATTGAGGTCACGGCCCGTAATTACGCGTACACAGTAGTGGACGCCTGGGACTGGCAGACGCGGTTTCGGCAGACTTTAGTATTTGATACGCTCATGTTAAGTATATCTTTCTAGTCTGATGCATCACTCCAGATTGTATATTTGTGGGTAGTCTGTCGTTACAGAGCACAACCTATAACAACACAACGTTAGTTGATTTTCTTCATTTATTTCAATTTCAATGAATATTGAAATAATTTATAGCCTAATACAATGCTACTTAATTTTCCCTGATTGCAGCGTGTAGACGAGGCGTTAACAAGTTGTCTCTCATCACTCACAATAATTTCCATGGGTTTCTTCCTTATTGGGATCATGTGGTCACGAGGACGAGTAACGAATCGGAATTATAGAAGTCGTCTTACAGCTAAGACACCCGCTTTCGTATAAATTTAGCTAAGATTATTAGTAGTTTCTATATAAATTCACATATAGGATTTTTACAGTGAATAATTTAATGCCAGAATTTATGGCTTAGTGTTTAATGTGTTTTGCTCTTATTATTGCTCAATATTGAATAATCTTTTAATATATTCATTATTTGAGATATCATATCTTTGACTATACTAGTTTAGATTTGCTGTGCTACTAACTCAACAATGAACTAGTGACGAACCACACTGGTTCCTAGATATATATGAACTTCTAGAAATACCCCCCAATGTTGATATTAGAGGCTTTGACTTTAATTAATTATTAATATAGTCTATTCATTATTTTCAAGTGATTGTTAAGTTAATTATCGTACATAGGCACTAGTTCTATTGTGTCTATCTAATAATCACTTTTGTTTGTTTTCCCTCTTTTCTCAAAAGTGGGTGGTCCTTCGATTTATGTTGATCATAATAATCAAATAATTTAATATCTGAGTTAAAGCCCCAGATACCCAACAGAAGGGTTCAAGAGGAGGAACGTCCTAGGGTTGAAGAGTTAGAAGGTCGGAGGGTTGAAGAATCGGAAGGTCGGAGTGCTGAAGAGTCGGAACGTCAGAGGGATAAAGAGTCGGAAGGTCGGAGGGTTCAAGAGTAGGAAGGTCAGAGGGTTGAAGATTCGGAAGGTCCTAGAGTTGAAGAGTCGGAAGGTCGGAGGGTTGAATAATCGGAAGGTGCTAGGATTGAAGAATGGGAAGGTCGGAGGGTTAAAGAGTCGGAGGGTTGAAGAATCGGAAGGTTGAAGAGATGGAAGGTCGGAGTGTTGAAGAGTTGGATGGTAGGAGGGTTGAAGTGTCGGAAGGTCTTAAGGTTGAAGAGTCAGAGGGTTGAAGAGTCGGAAGGTTGGAGAGTTGAAGAGTCGGAAGGTCGGGGGGGGGGGGGGTGAAGAGTCAGAAGGTCGAAGAGGTTAAAGAGTCGGAAGTTCGAAGTGTTGAAGAGTCGGAAGGTCGGGGGGTTAAAGACTCGGAGGGTTGAAGATTCGGAAGGTCGGGGGGTTGAAGACTCGGAGGGGTTGAAGATTTGGAAGGTCGGAATTTGAAGAGTACGATGGTCACAGGGTTGAAGAGTCGGAAGGTTGGAGGGTTGAAGAGTTGGAAGGTCGGAGGGTTGAAGAGTCGGAAGGTTGAAGGGTTGAAGAGTCGGTAGGTCGGAGGGTTGAAGAGATGGTTAAGATCCTAAGGTTGAAGAGTCGGAAGGTCGTAGGGTGGAACAGACGGTTAAGGTACTAAGGTTGCAGAGTCGGAAGGTCGGAGGGATGAAGAGTCGGAAGGTCGGAGGGTTGAAGAGTCGGAAGGTCGGAGTTTGAAGAGTCGGAAGGTCGCAAGGTTGAAGAGTCGGAAGGTCGGAGGGTTGAAGAGCCGGAACATCGGAGGGATGAAGAGTCGGAGGGTTCAAGAGTAGGAAAGTAGGAGGGTTGAAGATTCGGAAGGTCCTAGGATTGAAGAGTCGGAAGGTTGAAGAGTTGGAATGTCGGAGAGATGAAGAGTCGGAGGGTTGAAGAGTCGGAAGGTCGGAGTTTGAAGAGTCGGAAGGTCGGAGTTTGAAGAGTCGGAAGGTCGCAAGGTTGAAGAGTCAGAAGGTCGAAGGTTGAAGAATCAGAAGGTCGGTGTGCTGAAGAGTCGGAAGGTCGGAGGGTTGAAGAGTTGGAAGGTCGGAGGTTTGCAGAGTCGGAACGTCGGAGGGTTAAAGAGTCGGGAAGTCGGAGGGTTCAAGAGTAGGAAGGTCGGAGGTTTGAAGATTCGGAAGGTCTTAGAGTTGAAGAGTCAGAAGGTCGGAGGGTTGAAGAATCGGAAGGTCCTAGGGTTGAAGAGTGCAAAGGTCGGAGGTTTAAAGAGTCGGAAGGTCGGAGGGTCGAAGAATCGGAAGTTCGGAAGGTTGAAGAGATGGAAGGTCGGAGGGTTGAAGAGTCGAAAGGTTGAAGATTCGGAAGGTCGGAATTTGTAGAGTCGGAAGGTCGCGAGGTTGAAGAGTCGGAATGTCGGAGGGTTGAAGAGTCGGAACGTCGGAGGGATGAAGAGTCGGAAGGTTGGAGGGTTCAAGAGTAGGAAGGTCGGAGGGTTCAAGAGTAGGAAGGTCCTACGGTTTAAGAGTCGGAAGGTCGGAGGGTTGAACAATCGGAAGGTCGGAGGGTTGAAGAGTCGGAAGGAAGGAGGGTTGAAGTCAGAATTGGTCGGAGGGTTGAAGTGTCGGAAGGTCGGATGGTTGAAGAGTCGGAAGGTTGGAGGGTTGAAGAATCGGAAGTTCGGAAGGTTGAAGAGATGGAAGGTCGGAGGGTTGAAGAGTCGGATGTTCGGAGAGTGGAACTGTTGGAAGGTCTTAAGGTTGAAGATTCGGAGGGTTGAAGAGTCGGAAGGTCGGGGGGTTGAAGAGTCAGAAGGTCGGAGTGTTGAAGAGTCGGAAGGTCGGGGGTTGAAGACTCGGAAGGTCGGAGGGTGGAAGAGTCGGAAGGTCGGAGGTTTGAAGAGTCGGAAGGTTGGAGGGTTCAAGAGTAGGAAGGTCGGATGGTTCAAGAGTCGGAATTCCGGAAGGTTGAAGAGACGGAAGGTCGGAGGGTTGAAGAGTCGGATGGTCGGAGGGTTGAACTGTTGGAAGGTCCTATAAGGTTGAAGAGTCGGAGGGTTCAAGAGTCGGAAGTTCGGAGTGTTGAAGAATCGGAAGGTCGGAGGGTTGAAGAGTTGGAAGGTCGGAAGTTTGAAGAGTCGGAAGGTTGAAGGGTTGAAAAGTCGGTAGGTCGGAGGGTTGAAGAGATGGTTAAGGTCCTAAGGTTGAAGAGTCGGAAGGTCGTAGGGTTGAAGAGACGGTTAAGGTCCTAAGGTTGAAGAGTCGGAAGGTCGTAGGGTCGTAGGGTTGAAGAGTCGGAAGGTCAGAGTTTGAAGAGTCGGAAGGTCACAAGGTTGAAGAGTCGGAATGTCGGAGGGTTGAAGTGACAGAACGTCGGAGGGATGAAGAGTCGGAAGGTCGGAGGGTTCAAGAGCAGGAAGGTCGGAGGGTTCAAGAGTAGAAAGGTCCTTGGGTTTAACAGTCTGAAGGTCGGAGTGTTGAAGAATCGGAAGGTCGGAGGGTTGAAGACTCAGAGGGAAGGAGGGTTGAAGAGTCAGAAGGTCGGAGGGCTGAAGTGTCGGAAGGTCGGAGGGTTGAAGAGTCGGAAGGTCGGAGTTTGAAGAGTCGGAAGGTCACAGGGTTGAAGAGACGGAAGGTTGTGGGGTTGAAGAGACGGAAGGTAGGAAGGTTGAAGAGTCGGATGGTTAAAGAGTCGAAAGGTCAGTGGGTTGAAGATTTGAAGGTCGGAATTTGAAGAGTCGAAAAGTCGCAGCGTTGAAGAGTCGGAAGGTCGGAGGGTTAAATTCGGAAGGTAAGAGGGATGAAGTGTCGGAACGTCGGAGGGATAAAGAGTCGGAAAGTCGGAGGGTTCAAGAGTAGGATGGTCGGAGGTTTGAAGGTTCAGAAGATCCTAGAGTTGAAGAGTCGGTAGGTCGGAGGGTTGAAGAGTCGGAAGGTTGAAGAGACGGAAGGTCGGAGGGTTGAAGAGTCGGATGGTTGGAGGGTTGAACTGTCGGAAAATCTTAAGGTTGAAGAGTTGGAGGGTTGAAGAGTGGAAAGGTCGGAGGTTGAAGAGGAGGAAGGTCGGGGGGGGGGGGGTTGAAGAGTCGGAAGGTCGAAGGGGTTGAAGAGTCGGAAGGTAGGAGTGTTGGAGAGTCGGAAGGTCGAGGGGTTTAAGACTCGACAGGTCGGAGGTTTGTAGAGTCGGAATTTGAGGATTAAGATGGTCATAGGGTTGAAGAGTCGGAAGGGCGGAGTGATGAAGAGACGGAAGGTCCTAGGGTTGAAGAGTCGGAAGGTTGGAGGGTTGAAGAGTTCGAAGGTCGGAGGTTTGAAGAGTCGGAAGGTTGAAGCGTTGAAGAGTCGGTAGGTCGGAGGGTTGAAGAGATGGTTAAGGTCCTAAGGTTGAAGAGTCGGAAGGTCGTAGGGTTGAAAAGACGGTTAAAGTCGTAAGGTTGAAGAGTCGGAAGGTCGGAGGGTTGAAGTGTCGGAGGGTTGAAGATTCGGAAGGTCGGAGGGTTGAAGAGTCGGAAGGTCGGAGGGTTGAAGAGTCGGAAGGTCGTAGTTTGAAGAGTCTGAAGGTCGCAAGGTTGAAGAGTCGGAATGTCGGAGGGTTGAAGAGTCGGAACGTCGGAGGGATGAAGAGCCGGAAGGTCGGAGGATTCAAGAGTAGGAAGGTCGGAGAGTTGAAGATTCGGAAGGTCCTAGGGTTGAAGAGTCGGAAGGTCGGAAGGTCGGACGGATGAAGAGTCGGAAGGTCGGAGGGTTGAAGAGTTGGAAGGTCGGAGTTTGAAGAGTCGGAAGGTCGGAGGGTTGAAGAGCCGGAACGTCAGAGGGATGAAGAGTCTGAGGTCGGAGGGTTCAAGAGTAGGAAGGTCGGAGGGTTGAAGATTCGGAAGGTCGGAGGGTTGAAGATTCGGAAGGTCGGAGTTTGAAGAGTTGGAAGGTCGGAGTTTGAGGAGTCGGAAGGTCGGAGAGTTGAAGAGTCGGAAGGTCGGAGAGTTGAAGAGTCGGAAGGTCAGAGTTTGTAATGTCGGAAGGTCACAGGGTTGAAGAGACGGAAGGTCGGGGGGAGGGGTTGAAGAGTCGGAAGGTCGGAAGGTTGAAGAGTAGGATGGTAAAAGAGTCGAAAGGTCAGAGGGTTGAAGAGTTGGAAGGTCGGAATTTGAAGAGTCGAAAGGTTGCAGTTTTGAAGAGTCGGAAGGCCGGATGGTTAAAGAGTCAAAAGGTCAGTGGATTGAAGAGTTGGAAGGTCGGAATTTGAAGAGTCGAAAGGTCGCAGGATTGAAGAGTCGGAAGGTCGGAGGGTTAAAGATTCGAAAGGTCAGTGGTTTGAAGAGTTGGAAGGTCGGAATTTGAAGAGTCGAAAGGTCGCAGCGTTGAAGAGTCGGAAAGTCGGAGGGTTGAAGAGTCGGAAAGTAAGAGGGATGAAGACTCGGAAGGTCAGAGGAATGAAAAGTCGGAAGGTCGGAGGGTTCAAGTGTCGGATGGTTGAAGATTCAGAAGGTCGAAGTTTGAAGAGTCGGAAGGTCGGAGGGATGAAGATTCGGAAGGTCCTAGGGTTGAAGAATCGGAAGGTCGGAGTGTTGAAGAATCGGAAGGTCGGAGTTTGTAGAGTCGGAAGGTCACAGGGTTGAAGAGACAGAAGGTCGGGGGGTTGAAGAGTCGGAAGGTCGGAAGGTTGAAGAGTCGGAACGTCTGAGGGATGAAGAGTCGGAAGGTCGGAGGGTTCAAGAGTAGGAAGGTCGGAGAGTTGAAGATTCGGAAGGTCCTAGGGTTGAAGAGTCGGAAGGTCGGAGTGTTGAAGATTCGGAAGGTCGGATTATGAAGAGTCGGAAGGTCGGAGTTTGAGGAGTCGGAAGGTCGGAGGGTTGAAGAGTCGGAAGGTCAGAATTTGAAGAGTCGGAAGGTCACAGGGTTGAAGAGACGGAAAGTCGGGGGGTTGAAGAGTCGGAAGGTCGGAATTTGAAGAGTCGAAAGGTCGCAGTTTTGAAGAGTCGGAAGGTCGGATGGTTGAAGAGTCGGAAGGTAAGAGGGATGAAGAGTCGGAACGTCAGAGGAATGAAGAGTCGGAAGGTCGGAGGGTTCAAGTGTCGGAAGGTCGGATGGTTGAAGATTCAGTTGGTCGGAGGGTTGAAGATTCGGAAGGTCCTAGGGTTGAAGAGACGGAAGGTCGGGGGGTTGAAGAGTCGGAAGATCGGAGGTTTGAGGAGTCGGAACGTCGGATGGATGAAGAGTCGGAAGGTCAGAGGGTTCAAGAGTAGGAAGATCGGAGAGTTGAAGATTCAGTAGGTCCTAGGGTTGAAGAGCCGGTACGACAGAGGGATGAAGAGTAGGAAGGTCGGAGGGTTCATGAGTAGGAAGGTCGGAGGGTTGAAGATTCGGATGGTCCTAGGGTTAAAGAGTCGGAAGGTCGGAGGGTTGAAGAGCCTGAACATCGGAGGGATGAAGAGTCGGAAGGTTGGAGGTTTCAAGAGTAGGAAGGTCGGAGGGTTCAAGAGGAGGAACGTCCTAGGGTTGAAGAGTCAGAAGGTTGGAGGGTTGAAGAATCGGAAGGTCGGAGGGCGGAAGAATCGGAAGGTCGGAGGGCTGAAGAGTCGGAAGGTCGGAGGGTTGAAGAGGCGGAAGGTCGGAGGGTTGAAGAGTCTTAAGGTCGGAGTTTGAAGAGTCGGAAGGTCGCAATGTTGAAGAGTCGGAAGGTCGGAGGGTTGAAGAGCCGGAACGTTGGAAGGATGAAGAGTCGGAAGGTCGGTGGGTTCAAGAGTAGGAAGGTCGGAGGGTTGAAGATTCGGAAGGTCCTAGGGTTGAAGAGTCGGACGGTCGGAGGCTTGAAGAGTCGGAAGGTCGGAGGGTTGAAGAGCCGGAACGTTGGATGGATGAAGAGTCAGAAGGCCGGAGGGTTGAAGTGTCGGAAGGTCGGAGTTTGAAGAGTCGGAAGGTGGCAAGGTTGAAGATTCGGAAGGTCGGAGGGTTGAAGAGCCGGAAGGTCCTAGGGTTAAAGAGTCGCAAGGTCGGAGGGTTGAAGAGCCTGAACATCGGAGGGATGAAGAGTCGGAAGGTCGGAGGTTTTAATAGTGGGAAGGTCGGAGGGTTGAAGAGGAGGAACGTCCTAGGGTTGAAGAGTCAGAAGGTTGGAGGGTTGAAGAATCGGAAGGTCGGTGGGCTGAGGAGTTGGAAGGTCCGAGGGTTAAAGAGTCGGAAGGTCGGAGGGTTGAAGAGTCGGAACATCGGAGGGATAAAGAGTGGAACGGTCGGAGGGTTCAAGAGTAGGAAGGTCGGAGGGTTGAAGAATCGGAAGGTCGGAGGGCTGAAGAGTCGGAAGGTCCTAGGGTTTAAGAGTCGCAAGGTCGGAGGGTTGAAGAGTCGGGAGGTCGGGGGGGTTGAAAAGTTAGAAGGTCGAAGGGGTTGAAGAATCGGAAGGGTGGAGTGTTGAAGAGTCGGAAGGTCGGGGGTTGAAGACTCGGAAGGTCGGAAGGTTGAAGAGTCGGAAGGTCGAAATTTGAAGAGTAAGATGGTCACAGGGTTGAAGAGTTGGAAGGGCGGAGGGATGAAGAGTCGGAAGGTCGGAGGGTTGAAGAGACGGAAGGTCGGAGGGATGAAGAGTCGGAAGGTCGGAGGGTTGAAGAGTTGGAAGGTCGGAGTTTGAAGAGTCGGAAGGTCGCAATGTTGAAGAGTCGGAAGGTCGGAGGGTTCAAGAGCCGGAACGTCGGAAGGATGAAAAGTCGGAAGGTCGGAGGGTTCAACAGTAGGAAGGTCGGAGGGTTAAAGATTCCAAAGGTCCTAGGGTTGAAGAGTCGGAAGGTGGCAAGGTTGAAGATTCGGAAGGTCGGAGGGTTGAAGAGCCGGTACGTCGGAGGGATGAAGAGTAGGAAGGTCGGAGGGTTCATGAGTAGGAATGTCGGAGGGTTGAAGATTCGGAAGGTCCTAGGGTTAAAGAGTCGGAAGGTCGGAGGGTTGAAGAGCCTGAACATCGGAGGGATGAAGAGTCAGAAGGTTGGAGGGTTGAAGAATCGGAAGGTCGGAGAGCGGAAGAATCGGAAGGTCGGAGGGCTGAAGAGTCGGAAGGTCGGAGGGTTGAAGAGGCGGAAGGTCGGAGAGTTGAAGATGCTTAAGGTCGGAGTTTGAAGAGTCGGAAGGTCGCAATGTTGAAGAGTAGGAAGGTCGGAGGGTTCAAGAGCCGGAACGTCGGAAGGATGAAAAGTCGGAAGGTCGGAGGGTTCAACAGTAGGAAGGTCGGAGGGTTAAAGATTCGGAAGGTCCTAGGGTTGAAGAGTCGGAAGGTTGGAGGGTTGAAGATTCGGAAGGTCGGATTATGAAGAGTCGGAAGGTCGGAGTTTGAGGAGTCGGAAGATCGGAGGGTTGAAGAGTCTGAAGGTCAGAGTTTGAAGAGTCGGAAGGTCACAGGGTTGAAGAGACGGAAAGTCGGGGGGTTGAAGAGTCGGAAGGTCGGAAGGTTGAAGAGTCGGATGGTTAAGGAGTCAAAAGGTCAGAGGGTTGAAGAGTTGGAAGATCGGAATTTGAAGAGTCGAAAGGTCGCAGTTTTGAAGAGTCGCAAGGTCGGATGGTTGAAGAGTCGGTAGGTAAGAGGGATGAAGAGTCGGAAGGTGTTGTAATCCACAAGTTAGTAGGAATTATTAGCTAGAGGATCATTACTACAACACTTAACGAATGATGATTGAAAGTACATGTAAGTAGACAGACTATGGATCACATATCTAAGAAAGGTCAATGGATTAAGACCGAAGCTGTTTAGCCAAATTAATAATTCCTGGAAAGAGGAATTATTCTTCGTCAGGCTTCTAGGAACAAGGTTACCGCTCTAGGGATAAGGTTAATCGGATTATACCTTCCTCAAGAGGCGTGGTGAAATGATTGAGGCCATTGTTGGCTGGAGTCAGTCTGATTGTGGAAGTGGAACTAGCAAGTCCTCTGAGGTCTCCGGTTGTGGCAGCAGCGAAGTGTAGCAGACAGCTATGCGAGAGCCTGTTGTGATCTTAGTGACCAAGTTAAGTCTGCAGTATGTGAGTATTGAATGTAAGACTAACCGGGTGTGGAGCGTTGTAGTAATCATTCCGTATTAGGGACTTAGGCGGAAGTTACGAGTGTGGGTGGTGATCGCGGAGGTCAAGTGGTCTATGGGTATTGGAAGTGTATTGACCTAATAGAGTATGTTAATTAATATAGTATTATTTGTCAGAGTCTATTCTTTGTAATTAAATGACAAAATCCGACGGCCTTTAAATACCTTCGATATGTCCCTGCATAGTGTTCCTGGTTTGGTTGGTGAGGGAATGTTAGGGAATTGGTAGACAACATATTTGGTGGCAGCGCAAACAGGTTTTGGAACACTGTGCGAGATGAAGGAAGTGTGGTTCTGGTTTAGTTGGTGAGGGAATGTTCGGGAAATGGTAGACGTCGGGTTGTGGTGAGAATGGTGGTGACTAGACGGAGGAAGGAGGGTCAGGTGAGACCAGGTCAGAGGAGTTAGTTAATTAAAGGGACTAGGCCATTGTGGGGCACATGTGGGGTTTATTTCTTTCTTTCCAGATTCCCGCAGCGAGAGACGGCTAAGAGGCAAGTCTGGATCACTGAAGCATCGGGATCCAAAACAAGTGCAGTGTTCGTAATGCGGATTATACAGTGTTCGTAGTGCGGATTATACAGTGTTCGTAGTGCGGATTATACAGTGTTCGTAGTGCGGATTATACAGCGTGGCGAGGTAAACTAGCGCGGGTGAATGTGGGCCAGCGTGGGCCATGTGCGGCCATGTGCGGGCCAAGCGATGGGTGGGCCAAGCGAGCCGCACCTTGGAGCTTGTTTTATATCGTTGGTAAGGCGGTAATAGTGATAAAACGTTGCTAAGTGACAAATCAAGCGTGAAAACTACGTAATTTGAAGTTAATTAAATTGCATGTAAAGTGTAAATCGATTTTTTAAAGGATAATGAAATATTACCTAAAGTACTGCGCGAGTTCCTGCGTTGTCAGACGTAGATACAGAAAATAGGCGCAGTGAATTATGGACGCCTGGGCAAAGCGAGCGATGCGTAATTTGCGAGGTTCGACGTCTAGTGTACCGTGCAAAGGTCCATGGAGAATTTTTGTAGGTACAGGTAGCATTATGAAAAGTGTTACCGTGGGACACTGGGAGCGTGTCCCGTTGGTGGGGGTGTGTGGCGTCGAGAGGTGACGACGCAGTGCATGTGTATTGGCGTTTGGACGCCGGGAGTAGTGAATGGTTGTGTATTGGTGTTTGTACGCCGAGTGTAGTGCATGGTTGTGTATTGGCATTAGTACGCCGGGTTTTGTAGTGTAATGCATGTGTAGTGGCGTATTAGACGCCAGCGTTTACTGTAGACTAGTTTACTGTAGTGTAATGTGCATGTTTTGACTGTTGATATTATGGATGTAGTATAGTGCATGACATTGTTGGCATTGTAGCGCCAAGGTGTAGCATGTGTAGCATAACTAGTTGTTGTAACACTGGGTGAATTGTAGACATTAGCGTTGAAGTATGTTAACGCAGGTGGTAGTGTGTGGCGGGTGGCCACTACACAAGAAATTACGCCTGACGAGTGTTGGTCAGGTAATTAACGGATTACGAGAGAAAAGGGAGTGTGTGTGGCGTCTGGTTACTTATTGGTGGTGTTATTGGTGGTGACGTCTCGTGGTGTTTTGATGCGCTCTGGCGCAAGGCATATGCCTGTGGTGGTAATGGTGGTGGGGGACGCCGTGTGTGTTGTGTTGAGGGCGTTGGGGACGCCGAGTGTTATGTTGAGGGCGTTGGGGACGCCTGGGTGTTGTGTTGAGGGCGTTGGGGACGCCGTGTGTTGTGTTGAGGGCGTTGGGGACGCCGTGTGTTGTGTTGAGGGCGTTGGGGACGCCGAGTGTTATGTTGAGGGCGTTGGGGACGCCTGGGTGTTGTGTTGAGGGCGTTGGGGACGCCGAGTGTTATGTTGAGGGCGTTGGGGACGCCTGGGTGTTGTGTTGAGGGCGTTGGGGACGCCGTGTGTTGTGTTGAGGGCGTTGGGGACGCCGTGTGTTGTGTTGAGGGCGTTGGGGACGCCGTGTGTTGTGTTGAGGGCGTTGGGGACGCCGGGTGTTGTGTTGAGGGCGTTGGGGACGCCGTGTGTTGTGTTGATGGCGTTGGGGACGCCGTGTGTTGTGTTGAGGGCGTTGGGGACGCCGTGTGTTGTGTTGAGGGCGTTGGGGACGCCGGGTGTTGTGTTGAGGGCGTTGGGGACGCCGGGTGTTGTGTTGAGGGCGTTGGGGACGCCAATGGGTGGTGTAGTGTGGTGGACGCCTAGTATGGAGTGTGGTGTTGTGGAGTATATGGTGGCGCAGGGGCGCCAGGTAGTGGTCGGTAAGGTGAGTATTGGCGTAGCAAGGTCGGTGCGTTAGGACGCAGGAAGTGGTTGTAGGGATGTGTGGCGTTATATTGAGGTCATCAGTGGTTGGGATGACCAGTGGTAATGGTGTGTCGGAGTAAGTAAGTCTTATGGATAAGATGAAATGTGGATAATTGCAGGAGTTGGTGGCTGCAGTAGGCGAGTCAAGTCGATATCTCTAGCAAGACTCATAAAAGACTAATAAAAATTCATTATTTTCATTAAAATTTTCATTAATTAAGTCGGAGTGGGTAAGTCTCATGGATAAGATTATAAGGTAGAATTTCAAATTTCAGCCAAGTAGATATACTAATCTCTCATTAATTAAGTTGTTACAGGAATCTCGCTAGAGGCGAGCATGTGGCAGTATGATGCCTTAGTGACATTAGTTGTGAAATTATTTTAATGAGGTATTTATTGTGATAATGTATGTGTATGTATATACTGTATATTACCTCATCGGCACCATTACTGAGTGTTAGGCTTGAGAAGGTCCCCCGGGATCATGTCACAGAGCTTCAGGTAGAGTAGAAGGGAAGCTATGAGGCTACACTCAGTAATTCTAGAGAAAAAAAAGGGGGAGGAAGTGAAGCCAACGTGACGTTATAGGCGAAATTCGCCCCCTGACATCAAAGCAGGGATAAGGGCCAGCTGCAATGGTTTTGCAGCTGCGCTCAGGCTATATACGGGGAGAGAGTAAGGAGCCGAGGGGGTTATGTGATAATGGGATTGAGCCAGGGGGCTCCGAGGGAATATTTTGCAGGTACAGCGGTCGGGAAGGTGTGAATACAGGTGGACACACTCTGGGCGGATGGGCCTAGACCAGAGAGCTGTGAGGGATCTACAGCGTTCTGGGATTGGTGCCCTGGAACGAGACGTCAGCACAGACCCAAGGGAACATGACCCTGGGGTAGGAATCTCCGTTGCTCTGGAGGCCAGGATCACGTTACCTCAGAGCAACGATGGGACATTGACAACATTCACCAGGCTGGACAGCCTGGGTTTTGTCTGGGTCATGGAGG